TGGCCCTTTCTGCAACTATGGCCGGTCTCTTAAGGCTCAGTTCTCAATACTGATCATCTAATTATTTTCTCATTATGCTAATAACTCTCATCTTTAGTCTCTTCTAACTCTAGAGTTCTCTCAACATCTGCTCATCCAGGGATTCAGCTCAATATTAAGTAAGCCACTACACTAATGTACCTGGATGCAAATTTAATATTTTTTCAGATTAAAATCTGCACCCTACATCGATTTCCAAATGTATAGAAAGGATACATGTGCATTTTATGAATAGTCCATTCATGGCTAAATTATAGGAAAAATAAGAATAGTGAACAGGAAAAGATAGAATCCATGATGCATGTGCTTTGAATATAAAAATGCTATATGCTTAGAAGATGCTAATTATCCATATACTTGCATGGTAATGTATACCATATGTAAATATTCCACTGGAATTCTCTTTAATTTTTCAGCCTTTAGGATCTATCAATATTTGTGCACTTGGCTAGAGCGGGGTGTCAAATTCACAGAATCACATTTATCATCATGTAATGTATCATGACTTCCCTCCTTTGCTAAACGGGGGGTGGGTGGGCGTGGCTAGCAGTTGATGCATCTGGCCCATGGGCCGTGAGTTTGACACCCCTGGGCTAGAGTATTTGCCACTAAAAAGCTAATTTTAGATCAGATAAAATTGTGAATATGTACAGCCTGAATTATAATAAGAAAACCCTAGTATAGGTCACTGCATTTTGCTTCAGTAAATACAGTTCAGCTAGACATGAAGTACAAAGGACCAAACTAGATAATATAGGGGCGATACACACACACACACACACACACACACACACACACACACACTAATTATCAACCCTCAAGTGAACCTGGCTGAAGACATCTTGTGTGGCTATTGTGTTGCCACACAATAGAGGGAGGCGGAAAGTAGCTAGATGGGGTTTTGTAGCCAAAACAATAAAACTTTCCCGTGGGAACCAAGGACATTCTCAGAGGTGGCTAGCCAGAGGAAGAGTGAAGTAACCAAGCAACCAGCCAGCACCTTGATTGGACAGCATGACCAGTGACTTGTGGGAAAGGGGAAATTTTTAATTAAGTGAAAGCCTTGGGAACTTTTAGAGTTGGCTTTCACCAATCGTGCAAATATGATGTATCTAATAAAACTGTTCTTTGAGGAATTTGCCTGCCTCAGAGCAGGGATGGGATTCTACCGGTTCTTTCTGGTTCTGTAGAACCAGTAGCTCTGAAGAGCAGCAGACATAGAACTGGTTCTATGTCTGCCGCTGTTTTGGCCCACCCGCCCGCCTGGGCTCTTACCCAGGGGTAAGATTCAAATTTTTTAACAACCGGTTCTGTGGGCATGGCTTAGTTGGTGGGCGTGGTTTGGTGGTCATGTGACTGGGTGGATGTGGCTTGGTGGCCAAGTTATTGGCTGGGTGTGGCCAGCTCAATATCACTCACATCGAGGCATGCATGTCCTCGCCTGGCCTCTCATGACTGTGGGGATGCTGCAACAGTCGTAAGTGTGAAAAATGGTTATAAGTCACTTTTTTCAGTGCCATTGTAACTTTGAATGATCACTCCACACAAGCAAAGTACCAGCAAAGGATGGGAAAAAAACTCCAGAGAAATTCCTGAGACAGGAAGTCTAGTTCTGCCAAGAATGTAATAAGGGTTAATGGAGAGGCAGTTTCTGTAAGCAACACCAGAACGTTTCCTTCCTTCCTTCCTTCCTTCCTTACAGGATTAGGCCAGTAATTTCTTCTGACAACCAATTCTCCAAACTGCTTAGAATGTTAACAACCTGTTCTAGCGAATAGGTGCGAACTGGTAGAATTCCACCCCTGCTCTTACCTGACCTTTATTTCCTGCTTTTTCAACCTCAGCTGCTTTGCGCGGCACAGCTGCGGTTGAAAAAGCAGGAAAAAAGTGCTTTTTCAAATGCTGCGCACCTGTGCGTAGCGCTGCTCAGCTGTCCAGGTTGCAAGCTGACAACATTTCACACATGCGTACAAAACGTAAATCACCGAACTGGTAGTTATACCAGTCAGATCCCATCCTTGCCTCAGAGTTCTACTTTCTACAGGTGCATTACTTGGAACACTGACAATAATATAATATAATATTGTGGAAAGGGAACTTCATGAGGACAGTGGTGACACCCAAGCAGGAAAAGCCCAAAGGGAACATCAGGCCAGCCATAAAACAAACTTGCATAGGAAAAGAGATTTAATAAAAGGTATTGAAAGAAGCCCCCTAGATAAAAGCCAAGTAATTAAGAAAGCTAAGGAAACAAGAAAAAGAAATCCCTTACAAACAACAGGTCATGCCAAATCAGCTAAACAAATAGACAAAAGACACAAAATATATTGCAAAGGAGACAGACAGGAGATTGCCACAAAACAAATATAAGAAAACATTAGGAAACTGATAATCCAATCAAACTACCCTGCAAAGTTTGCCTTCTGCACCCCACGGAGTTTACCCTCCGGCGGAAATGAAGACAACCCCTGACAGGATTTAAAACATTAAGAAATACAAACACAAGCACTCACACACAAAAGGAGAAAAAAGGTATAAAAATCAGGGTTTTTATTATACAAAGAGAGCTAGCTCCAGGAACGCAGACTTCTTGCTATCTCTCGCCTTCCTGAAAAATAAAAAGAACCGGCTTCCAAGTAGTTGTCTGAATCCTTGCACTGGAGTTCTCCCAGCAGGAAAACCGAACCCTCCGAAGAAAGGCATTTTCCAGCCTTTCAACAATGTAATGTAATGTAATGTAATGTAATTAATATAATGTAATGTAATATAATTCATGAATATCAAAGATATCAGATGAGAAAAAAGAGCAAAGCGATTAAGGAAAACAGGTAAAAAAATTATCTTGCTTTCTGTGTATTTTGCAGATATAAATCACATGAAAACAAAGGGCTGTTAAACAGGTTGAAAGTGATAAACTTAATAAAGCTGCAGTACAAGAAATACCTTTTGCTGTTTTTTGAATCCATTTCTGTAGAAAATAATGTTAGCAGAGTCACATAAAAGACTTCCTTGTTTAACAGAATAGTCTGAGAAAAACTTAAACATTCAACACAATAACAAGACATATAAAGCCACCCTGCGTTATGCAGTGACTTGTAACACAGATTACAATCTTAATATGATAAAAAATGATGGCTGCTCAGCATGAGACCTCACGGTGAAGCTGCTGTGGCACAATATATGCTAATATTATAATATATGCATATTTCTAAGGGCAGTTTAGAAAAGAGGCATGAGACAATGCAAAATTTATTCAAGGGCATGATTTACAACTCTATTGGAGATAAGTAAAGCTATGGTTTGAACTTCAAGATGTTCAGGTTTCGTTCTGCTTTTTTGTGCCTACTCATCCTTCCAATTTGCTGTTGTTTATTTATTGCAGGCAAGACCCATACAAAAGCAATATACAAAAGGGCTAAGCATAACCATATAAGCACCATCCCAATTAAAATTATAAGAATATTTATGAGGTAATTTTAGAAAATATAAACAACACAACAAGAATTAATTACTTAGTTCCATATCCCCTACTTTTGAAATGACTGCTGTTCAGATTACAGGCTTCTGTTATATATGTCATTTTACTGTAGAATCTGACTAATGCATTAATTCCATAAATCAACCCTGCAATCCAAACCCACTAGAAATTAGTCTCTTACATGTTTTTCCAGTACTGCCAAAAATTAGCAATAGACATGATGCCACCTTGGTTGTTGTCCTCTGTGTTATAGATGTGTTGGCTTACAGTGATAGAACAATAGCACTAACTATTTTGACAGCACAATATCAACAATAGAATAGAATAAGAATAAGAATAGAATAAGAACAGAATAGAATAACAGAGTTGGAAGGAACCTTGGAGATCTTCTAGTCCAACCACCGGCTCTAAATTCTAAAGCAAGGTCTGTAAATTCAATTTATACTACCATATAAAGTCCTTTTTACAGATTCCAGAGAAGCAATAAACTATCCTTTGTCCATTCACATATTATGCCAATACATGGTCAATCTTTTTATCCACAGAAGCCTATATTCACTCCTAAAGAAACCTCTAGAAATCTATATTCACAATCTATATGCACCTCTTTTGCAGTCATCCTATATAAACACCAGCCCTTGATAGAGCCTTTTTCTTTCTCTTTTACAGAAAGCACATTGACATGACTTTACAATTTTGAACCACTGTTTCAAATAGAACTGGGACTAGCCATTGCTGATATCCAGTTCATCTTTAACAAAGTGAGTAAAATACAGTTACAATATTGAGATCTGGATGAGGCAAGATCCATGTTTCAAGTTTCCCATGTTAGTGCCATGGGAAACTTGTCAAAATATTAGGCAACTTGTCAAAATATTTGAGCACCCATAAGGATACGGTCCAAAAAGGAAAGATGATTTTAATGATGGTACAATCCAAACTCTCTCTCTTTTTAAATCTAACCTCATAATCCAGTGGTTCTCAATCTTTCCTTCATCACGGATTTTCTTTAAATACTTTTTGTAGCTGTGGATCAGGGCCATGGACCCCCCCCCAGATTTAACTCAAGATTTAAAACATAACATTTCTTCAAGCCTTTGCTGATCCTCTACAATAACATTGTAGTCTCCAAAGGTCTGTGGACCACAGGTTGAGAACCACTGTCATAATCTTCTCTACTGCTGTCCCTTTACTATGCTTTCCAGCTCTTTACCATTGTCTTCTGAACACATACAAGCATGTTTTTAAAAAAATTCTAGCAAAAAATTGACAATTCCCATCCTTACCCCCAATCAAAATTGGCACGATTCTCTTGAGCTGTTTTATGGTCAACTACCATATAAACCATCCTCAGCTTTATTGTTCTTATGGTACCATCGTAATTATGCTCCAATGCATTCAGGTATAAATAAGGGGATATCTTTTCTGGCACAAACAAAACCAAAAGTCTCAGACAACTTTGGTATTCTTCTAACAACAATACCTCTGTGAGAAGACATCTCTGTAGGGGCTTCCGTGCTGAAGAGCAATTCCGTATCCTCGATCCGCAATAGTATTTCCAACGGTGTAGAAGGAACAATCTGGATCATTTAGAGCAACGTATTCCAAAACTGCAGCATCCCAAACAAAGGCGTAATTTCCATATTTGACCTGAAACCACAAAAGAAAATAAATGACTCAATTTTGCTTTGAATGTTTTTTGGGGAAAAAAAAAACCAGTTATGAACCAAAGCAGTAATACCCTTTACAAGCTATTTGAAAGAGTGGGAGGGTTTATAGCATCATTTTCAGTGAAATGAAAATGAAAAATATTCCAGCCAGAAACCTGTTTCTTTTATAGGCCAACCTTGTTTCATTAAACCTAAGTGGCCAACGGTAAAGGAAGAGTTAGGCTAGCACAATTCATGCAAAATTGTCCTTGATACTGATTCAGAAGATACAATTAATGCTGAATACAATGGCCAGGTTATTAACTGGCCTGTCAACTATATTAAAATATATACATGGGTTGCCTCTTTGTGACTAAACCAGGTTCAAAGTCCAAGGTATTATTAGACGAAGTTCTAAACAACTCAATTACACCAGCCCCCAAGCTACTGCAATCTTCACGGATGCTACCACTTGGGATGATTTATGCAAATGTTAATGGAAGTGGCACCAATTCCGTCAATGATGTTCTCTCTGCTAGCATTCCAGTCCTAATTGGTCATATGTTTAAGTGTTTTCATGGCTTCCTTTTATTCCTTGACATTGTTTCATAACATCACTGTAACATACTTAGAGAAGACCAGTAAATAATAAGTAGAAACCTCATATTTTAAATAAATAAATATTGAAGTGCACTGTATTGGAAAGAATGTTCCATCTAGGTAGTTTAGATATAGACTATAACTATAGACGTAGTTTAGATCTCTGGGTCACAAGTGCTGGCAGGAAGTAGGTAACCTTGAGCAATCTAAGCAGCTCTGAACCCGGTTTAATGCTTCTGTGGAAGATCCCCAGGGTTGTAGATTAAATTGGAAGACACCCTAGGGAAAGATGCAAGCAAATCACTTTCATAGTGTTGCTAAGCAAATAACATGGATAAGTGAAGGAGAGCCTTATTCAAGGGAGAATCCATTCATTTATTCTATATGTTCATCAAGATGCTATGTCCCGTCCTGAAGACTTAGGTTGTGTTATATCAGGGATGTCAAACTCAAGGCTTGCAGGCCAGATCTGGCCTGCGGGATGCTTAGATCTGGCCCACGGGGCTGCCCTGGAAACAGTGAAGGACCGGCCTATGGTGCTTTTTCCAGAGAAAATGGAGCATGCGGCCCGCCTGAGCTCCGTTTTTGCTGGCAGAGCACTTGGGCTGTAACAGGTACCTCTGGCACAAGTGATGTCGATCTGGCCACACCCACCCTGCCATGCCCACCCTGGCCCCCAAGGTCAAACATAACCCTCATGTGGCCCTCAATGAAATCGAGTTTTACACTCCTGCTTTATATGAAGCAACTATTTATTGTCTTCTCAGCTTCCAACACTTCTAAGTATGTGCTGGAATTCTAAGTTAAGAGAACAATATTTACTTTAAAAGAAAATCCATAATGACAAAACCATATTTTTGAACAAAAAAAAATGTTAAAATCTCATCCCCATAATGAATTCTTCCTTCACTTCATCTATAAAATACATCAATGTCTATATATCTTGCACAACCCAACCCATGTTTTGCCTTCCAATACCATTGGCGGGGCTGTGGAAATGACATTGTGACTTATTATGGTTCGTCACAGATTTCAGCCAACAAGTTTAGACTTGGATTTGGCATTTTTATTTTATTTTATTGACCAAAGATGATTTTGTCAACGCAATGGTGTTCATGTGGTGCTCCAGTTGTTTTGGGATGATACTCAGGGAACCTAGGTAGTGCTTGACTTAGGACCACCAATGAGCCCAAAATTTCTGTTGCTAAGCAAGAGAGTTATTGAGTTTTGTTTCATTTTGTAACCTTTCCTGCCACAGTCATTAATTTAATCACTGCACTTGTAAAGTTAGTAACGGTAATTAAGTGAATCTGGCTTCCCCACTGAGTTTGCTTCTCAGAAAGTTGCAAATGGTGATCACATGACCCTTCAGATTAACAGAGTTGGAAGGGACCTTGTAGGTCATCTAGTCCAACCACCCACCGAAGCAGGAAACCCTACACCATTTCTAACAAATGACACTCCAATCTCTTCTTGAAAGCTTCCAGTGATGAATTATTGAGTCTATCATCTGAACTTCTATAACTGTCTGGTTTGGTTCTGCAAGCCAACAGGACAGACACAGATTTCAGAGGATAATTAGGACTGCAGAAAAAGCAATTACTACCCACCTGCCTTCAATTGAGAACCTGTATACTGCTCGAGTCAAAAAGAGAGCTGTGAAAATATTTACAGACCCCTCACATCCCGGACATAAACTGTTTCAACTCCTTCCCTCAAAATGGCGCTATAGAGCACTGCACACCAGAACAGCTAGACACAAGAACAGTTTTTTCCCAAAAGCCATCACTCTGCTAAACAAATAATTCCCTCAACACTGTTCAACTATTACAAAGTGTGCACTACTATTATTGTTAATCTTCTCATATCTCCTTATCACCCATCCCCTCCCACTTGTGATTGTAGGACTGTAACATTGTTGCTTGTATCCTTACGATTTATATTGACTGTTTCCTCATATGATTTAATTGCTGATTGTACCCTATGACTATCATTAAGTGTTGTACCTTATGATTCTTGATTCTTAATGAATGTATCTTTTCTTTTAGGTATACTGAGAGCATTTACACCAAGACAAATTCCTTGTGTGTCCAATCACACTTGGCCAATAAAATATTCTATCTTATCTATCTATCTTATGAAGCTCCCACAACTTCCGAAGGCAACTTCTGTTCCATTGGTTGATTGTTCTCACTCTCAGAAAATTTCTCCTTATTTCTAGGTTGGGACCCTGGGACACTGTAAATGTCATAAAAATACATGCCAGTTTCCAAGCATCTGAATTTTAATCATGTGACCACAGAGGTGCTACAATAGTCAAAGTGCGAATGCTTATAAGTTGAAGACTACCTATACTATTGATAATATCTTTACTTTCTTTGGCCATACTCATTCCCCTCTATTTGCAGGTCTTTGTTTATTTTTATTTATTTATTTTTATTTGTCAATTGCTTACAAGATAATAGGTATAAGTAAAAACATATGAATACATGGATACATATAAGAAAAAAAAAAGAAACCATAGGACAGGGATGGTAGGCACGTTGGTGCGCTTATGCACACCCCCTATAGACCTGTTAGGAAAGGGGTGAGGTCAATAGTAGACAGTCTAAGGTTAAAGTTTTTGGGCTTTGGGGAAGTAACCATAGAGTCAGGTAGAGTATTCCAGACATTGACTACTCTGTTGCTGAAGTTGTATTCCTGCAATCAAGTTTGGTGCGATTAATCTTGAGTTTGTACCTATTGTTTGCTCTTGTGTTGTTATGGTTGAAGCTGAAGTATTCATTGACAGGTAGAACATTGCAATGTATAATTTTATATACTATACTTAGATCGGACCGAAGGCGGAGTTGTTCTAGATTTTCTAGATCTAGAATTTCGAGTCTGGTGGCATAAGGTATTCTGCAACGAGTAGAGGAGTGGAGAACTCTTCTTGTGAAATATTTCTGGACTTTCTCAACTGTGTTAATATCAGATACGTAATGTGGGTTCCAGACTGATGAGCTGTATTCGAGTATTGGTCTAGCAAATGTTTTGTATGCTCTAGTAGTTCATGATTTTCTCTCATTCTGTCTCTTCTCTTCTATTCCTGTTTCCAGCTATTGCAACCTATACTATCCAAACTATTCTGTCTTTCTTATGGACAATTGTTGCATTTGGTCTCTTATTTGGCAGGTGTTGTCTGTTTGAATTCGACAATCCCAGAGCACGTAGCTTTTTCATTTTGTATTACTTTGTCTATTTTGTGGTTCCCAACTGTTCATGCTTTCAGGCAAGCCTCCTTCTTGTCTTCAGTGTGCTTGATTTTGTCAGCTTGAGGGATACTTGGGTATTTGAAGTGATCCTCTTCATCCAGACCCTTGATGTTATTTCCATAGGCATATTGATCCCTTCAGTTCTCACTATTTTCCCCCAAGTTGATAGTGAAAGTAGCCCATTTGTCCAGTCCAAATACCATTGGAATGTCTTATCTGTATATAAGGGATAGTGTTGAGCAGGAATTCTATTTCAGATGGTGGTTTTTTATGCAGTTTCAAATTGTCTATGTAAAGGAGGTGGGATAGCATAGAAGATTTCTTGTTGTTTGATAGCCATGGCCCAATTTTATTCAGTGCTGTTATTTCTAGGCTCTTTATTATCTAAGCATGTAGTAAGGGATTGAATGCCTTCTTGTGATCCATCCATGCTACATTCAGGTTGGCTTTCCTTCCCTTGCAGTTTTCCATAATTATATCAATTACGAGCTGACCTTTTATTCCTCTGCTGTTTGAGCAGTTTCATTTCCACTCAAGAGGAAAGAGCTTGTTTTCAACTAAATTCTGTTGGGCTGCATCAAAGTGTTCCAATATCAAAGGGCTGCCACCAAGAAGAGGGGTTCGATCTATTCTACAAATCACCTGTAGGTAGGACAAGAAGCAATGGATGAAAACTAAGGAATTTGTTTCAGTAGATTTGAAAGAAAGAAAAAATGGAGCTGTTTTGTATTTAAAGCTCCCGTCCCAAACTTACACTGATTGATGACTTTGGCAGATACGTTGGCATGAAACTTAATTTACGGGGAGTTAAGAATTTGATATTAAGGGATTTTTGCCCCAAATGAAATAAATCAGCATTTTATAAGAAAATGTCAGAGTTTGCAGCAATCCAACTAGCACACAAGTAAATAATTCAGTAGGATTCATTTATAGAAGAAACTTCTTTATATACAATAATATACAGTAGATGTATACAATACCATGCAGCAGAAGCCAGAACCAGAACTCAGAATCCAGAAGTCATAATCACGGAAGCAATATAAACACAGAAGCAATATATTACAGAGGTAAGATCCAAGGTCAAACTAACTCATAGATAGATAGATAGATAGATAGATAGATAGATAGATTGATAGATTGATAGATA